GCGCACCCCTACTACCATACACATTATAGGCGCCACCATTTAAATACTACGTTTTTAAGTTTTACGCTGTTACAATTAATATCCTACGTTTTCTCTTACTATCCGACTACACCTTTGCATTTTCTACATTTTCTACCACATTTTCACGTCCTACACATTTCTACTTTACCCACACAGCCTAGGCATCCTCCTCAGCAGTGGCAGTGTTTTCGTCGGCGGTCTCACCGTCCGACTCTGGCTCGTCTACGTTGTTGCACCAGAATCCATCTGCTGCAATCTCGTCGTCAAGATCCACTTCGCCTTTGACGGCGTCCCGCCGGTGCTGCAGGCAGAGACCGTCCTGAGACCCGTCCAAGGCGTTACTGATGCCGCAGGTCAGAAACGAGCGCTCAATCAACTCCTTGGGCACCGCCTTCCAGGCCTTAGAGATCCACTTGAGCGTCAGCTCAGGTGGTGGCTTGCGGATGTTGCTTGCCACACGTAGAAAGATTCATCAGTTAGAACAGGGTCACTAATTGAAAAACAATCAGTCCTAAATCTTAATGCTCACCTCTTTCAGTCAGGCAGTCAACACCCTCGCTCTCGAACCATTCCTGGTACTGTTGTCGCACAGCTGCTTTGAAGGAGAGGTTGACCGCGACGTCCAACGGCTGCACCTCCGATGTGCAGCCAGCTGGTATGACGGCCGGCACGATACGCAGCTCGCCGAATTTCGCCCTCACTTGATCAGTCAGGTGCCCGCGGTAGGAGTCAAGCACCAACATCGCCCTCCTGCTGCGCACTCCGAACCTCGGGTTGACGTACGGGCCCACCGTACCGTCGAGCCACGCGAGGACGCCTTCCGCGTCCATCCAACCGTTGGGATGTGCGGCGACCACGACATCTGCACATCCGCACAACGTTGAGATTGACATCAGTAAAAAAAAAAAACAACACATGCAAATCCTACCGGGACTGCACAAGCTGCTCGGCTTACCGGAGGGGAAATTCTCCTTAGGAACTGTCTTGCGCTTAAAGAACACCCAGGGCTTGAGCTTCTCGCCGCTGGCGGTGCAGGCGAGCATCACCGTCACGCGTTCCTTTTGATAGCCGCCGCTGTGGATGGGCACGGAGCGGACCCCCACCTCCTCGACAGTGCGTTCAGCTGGCATTTCGAGCCAGAGCGGGGTCTGATCCGCATTAATGATCCAGCGGTTGTCGATTCCGTACTGTCGGCGGGTGTGTCGCACGAACTTCCAGAAGTTTTGCACTTGCGTCTCGCACTCTGGAAGGGACGCGGAGGCAGAAACCATAAAATAACATTACCACATCGACCGATTAGCAAAGGGGATAAACAAGAGCGAATACAACACGCCCACTCACCGGAGGATAGTTTCTGGCCGACACGGGTCTTCGCTCGGGTAGTGAGATTCCAGCGGCGCCAAAAACGCTAGGTCCACCTCTGAGATCCCGCCCACTTTACCTCAGGATGCAGGCTCTTCATCACCTCTCGCGACCACTGCTGCAGGCGGCCGACCGACACTGCGAGGCACTTTTTTCGGGCGGCAAGTACTCGTGAGTAGACCTGGATCTCCATGTCGCGATACCACGACGACCGACCACGCCCGTGAAGACGCTTGCGAGCCCCATGCGCGCCCTCCAGCTCACCCTTCCGCGATTTCCATACTGCCAGGGACTTTCGGGAGATACCAGAGTCGCGTGCCATCTGCCGCATACTCACAGCACCGGACTCCAGCTGTGAAATCCAGTGCAGCTTCTCCTGGGAAGTATAGGAGTGCCGCTTGTGCCTTGAGCGCCTGTTCCTGGGAGACGGGGGGTGGGAATCACGATTCTGGGTGCAGGGGTGGGGCCTTTTTTTATTGGGCGGGGGAAAACTTGGGACAGGCAAGTCCTCGGGAAGACCGTCGGCCGCCCACCACTCAACATCGTCTTCGGCACCGGTGGCGGATTCGTCGTGCGGGCAGTCTTCCGGGTCTCCCCAACGTGGCGAAAGACCGGGACCGGTTTCATCTTCGTCGCTGCGCTCGGGCTCGTGCTCGGGCTCGGAGATGTACGCATCAAAAGCAGAGTAGCCGCGAGGGAGAAGCTGCAGAATGGGCACACCGTTGATGACGACGATAGGCGGAGCGGGAGGAGCAGGAGGCGCTGGAGGTGCAGGAGGCGCAGGAGGAGCAGGAGGCGCAGGAGGAGCAGGAGGTATTGGCGCTAGACGACTCTGCCACTTGGAGTAATCGGGAGCTTTGTCAGCAGCACCTCGGTGCTTAAAGAGGAAATGGGTGCCTGGTCGGCCCGCCATAGCTAAGGCGGGCCGATGGGAAACAAGAAATCTGAAACAAACAGGGAGAATGGCGCATGTTTGAAACCCTTGCCCGAGACCCCTCCAACTTCGCGGCCCAGGTTCCTCTGCAGGCTAAGGGAAGAAACAGTCAAGATCTCCCCGCAGAGGAGCTGATGTGGTGAGGTCCAAGCGTTGTTGGCAAGGAATCTTGCCGCATATGCCCCGTTTGTGGTTTTACTGCGTCGTGGCTAGCTCGACAGTCGGCCTTGATTGGGCAGTCGCACACTAAACTGCGTGTGCGTTGGCATGGGCTAGATTCGGTACGATGAATCTGGTCAGGCGAGCAAGGCGTGGCGGGCGTGATTCCACGCCTTGTTGGCAATTTGACGTAGGTGCACGGACCAAAACCCCCACCCCGCTGGCGTGCAGTGTACCACTCACGGAGCTGCTGAGGGGACAGGGTCTCACGACCGCGCTGCTGCTGCTGGCGCGCGCCACTACCGGAGCCACTCCTCTGCGAAGGTCCGCGACCAGCTCCACCGCCACCCCCACCGCCTCCGCCGCCTCCGCTACTACCGCCGCCTCCACCGCCGCCTCCACCGCCGCCTCCTCCGCCGCCTCCTTTGCCACCTCCGCTCCCACCGCCACCGCCGCCGCCGCCTCCGCCTCCACCGCCGCCACCGACCCCCCCACCCACACCTCCACTCCCACCGCCACCCCCACTACCCCCACCGCCTCCACCTCCACCTCCACCTCCACCGCCCACTCCTCCAGCTCCCTTGCCCCCCTTGCCCTTGCCAGGGCGGCGTCTCCCGCTAGGGGCAGACGCCGCACCGACCGACTCAAGACCAAGGAGGTCGGCCGTAGCAGCAGAGGCAACAGAGGGCAGCAGGGGGGAGGGGGAACACCCCTCAAAGATGGGGGTGCGCGGGTCACCTCGAGAGGCTCCTACATCGACTATACTCTTCTCCGCTGCTAAGAGGGCCTTCTCGAGGAGATCGACAGTGAGTGTGGTGGGACAGACTGAGAGAAAGTGGTCCCTGACTACACGAAGGGAGTCAGGAAGGCGAGTGACTAGGAAGTACAGAGTGATGTACATGGGGGGGGGGGGTTCCTGGCGCAGAAATCAGCAGGGAGTGCAGCGCGGTAGCGAGTGTCACTAGTGCGGAGGTGCGTAATGAGATCAGCCATGGTGGGAAAGGCAGCAAGGTCAGGGAAGAGGTACGGTAGCATGAGACGGCTCAGTGCAGCAGTGGCAGGGGAGGAGTAGCGCGCGACTACAGCGTCGTACAAGGTCTGAGCACTCTTGTACTGACTAAAGTGCGCACGCTCGGAGGTAGGGAGGTGGCGATGCACAGCAAGTCGTGCAGCAGCGACGCGCGTGGCCCACTGGGAGCGAATAGTGGCGTCAGCATCAGCAGCAGGGGCAGGGGAAGCGCCAGAGGTAAGGTCAAAGAGAGAGAGGCGGTCTGCCCTATCGCACTATAAGAACAGCTGCAGATTGTCTACCCAGACCTCAAAGTCAATGGCCCGACCCTCAGCGTCAAAAGCGAGGACACTAGGGGTAGCCATGACGATAGTAGCCTAGCAGTACTACCTGTAGGACAGGGGCAGTGTAGTGACAGGAGCGCTGCTCTCACCAGACAGGGCGGGTCGGGCAGCTCAGCAGCACAGCAACGCGGCTGCTCGGATGGCTCAGCAGCAACTGCGGTTCGGGCGGCTCGGGCGGCTCGGCTCCACAGCGGCTCAGGCGGCTCGGGCGGCTCGGGCGGGTCGGGCGGCTCGGCTCCTCAGCGGCTCAGGGGGCTCGGGCGACTCGGGCGGCTCGGGCGGCTCAGGCGGGTCGGGCGGCTCGGCTCCTCAGCAGCTCAGGCGGCTCGGGCGGCTCGGGCAGGTCGGGCAGCTTGGGCGGCTCGGGCAGCTCGGGCGGGTCGGGCACCTCGGGTGGCGCGGGCGGTGTAGGGCCGTAGGGCCGCTGGTAGGGCTCGAGGCCGCAGCGAGAGGGGCGGCGGGGCCACAGAGACGGGCGGCGGGGCTGCAGTGAGAGGCGGCGGGGCCGCAGCTAGAGAGGCGGCGGGGCCGCGGAGACGGGCGGCGGGGCCGCAGAGACGGGCGGCGGAGCCGAAGTGAGAGGCGGCGGGGCCGCAGCGAGAGAGGCGGCGAGGCCGCAAAGACGGGCGGCGGGGCCGCTGAGATGGGCGGCGGGGCCGCAGTGAGAGGCGGCGGGGCCGCAGCGAGAGAGGCGGCGGGGCCGCGAAGACGGGCGGCTGGGCCGCTGAGACGGGTGGCGAGGCCGCCGTGAAGGGCGGCAGGGCCGCAACAAGAGAGGCGGCGGGGCCGCAGAAAAGGGGGGCGAGGCCGCTGAGACAGGCGGCGGGGCCGCAGTGAAGGGCCGCTAGGGCGGCTTGACAAAGTGAGGGCCCAGAGCACGACTCGGGCTGAGCGCGCTTCGGGCAGGAAAAAAAAAACTCGATGTGGTGGGCCCTAAGCACAGTTCCCAAGGGGGAACCTGCTCGATACCATGAGAAGATTAGAACGAGAATGATGTGAACTATGAATGAAGCGAGTACAAATATGAAACCCTAGTTGGGTTGTACCCCCTATGGGATACCCCACTATAGCCTACACAATAGCATAAGCTATAATGTTCTGACAGGTAGGTCGGTTGGTTGATTAAAAGAAAAGAAAAGAAAAATAAATCATGAGGCCCTTCCACTCACACTTACAAGACTGATACCTGTGACCCAAATGAAGAACACAGCTTTCACCTGAAGAACAAGACTGAATGACAACAATGGCCCACCTGAGCGACAACAGAGACCCAACTGAACGACAACAGAAGCCCACCTGAATGACAACTGAGACCCACCTGAATAACACCAGAGACCCTCCTGAACAACACCAGAGACCCACCTGAATGACCACGGGCACGCAACCCGCAATCACGGCCATGGCGAGCGACTCATGCCAGCCGTGGCCCGCGGTGGCAAGGCAGAAGACGCTGTGCTCCATGCCACCATACGCCAGCTCCTCGCCGCCCTCCGGTACCACCTCCACCTTAAAGCCCGTCTCGCCGTCCCGCCCCGCGTACAGCTCAAACACCCGCTGCCGCACGCCAAAGCTGAACGGCGGCTCCCCTTGCTCCTTCCTCCCTGCCTGCACCTGCTGCTGCTCCTTGTTGTCTCCCTGCCGCTGCCCCCCCTGCTCCTGCGGGTGTGCCTCCTCGTCCCAGGTGCTGCTGCCGTCGCTCACATTCAGCCCTCGTACGAACAAAAGGTACTGTCGTTCCCTCCCACCCTGCCCCTGCCCACCATTCCCCTCCTCCTGCTGCTCCTGCCCCTGCTGCTGCACCTCTCCCTCCCCATCCGCACCTCCCTCCCTCACCAGCGCAGGCAGCCCTCCTGCCTCCCTCACCATACTCGCATTCTGCTGGTGCCTCAGATGCGCCGAGGGCGGAATCACTATGTCCTGCCTGGGCCGGAAGCACGGGCCTCCGTCTGGCGTCCCGAGCATGTTGCAAGTGTACCCCCATGGAGTGAGGGTGATTGCGGAAGCTAGCCGCGGGTCCTCGAGCCCGTAGAGCTGCAGGGCGCACTTGCCGTACTCCTCGCTCACCAGGAAAATGTGGTCTGCCCCGCCCTTGGCGTCCCAGAAGGGGCCGAGCGAGCGGATGAAGGAAATGGTCTCTGAGATGAGCCGCTGCTTGCCACTGTCTCGGTTGCTGTTGGGGGTTCGGGAAGGAGGAGCAGAGGGAGGAGGAGGAGGGGCCAGGAAGGGCAAGGAGAGGGCACAGGGCGGGAGGGGCAGGAAGAGCGGAAGGGAAAGGACAGAAGGGTTAGGGTAGCAGGGCGAATTTGTTGTACCCCTAGCTGCGGAGAGGCACATAGAAGAATGTCAGCTTCAAGAGGATTGATGGAGCGGTGGTGAGGTGACTGGCGAGCAGCCCGAGAGGCTCTATCTGTAACACCGCCTAGCATTTAGCTCCACTGCACCAACCGGATGAGGAGAGGCACGTAGAAGAAGTCAGCTCCACGCGGGCCAATGGTGCGGTGGCGGCTGGCCAGAAGTCTCTCTCCCAGAACCAGTGGGCCTCTACCGGTATACAGCACCTAGCACCTAGAGCCACCCACCAGCACCTACCGGATGAGGAGAGGCATGTAGAAGAAGTCCGCTTCCCGCGGGTCGATGGTGCGGTGGCGGCTGGCCAGCAGGCGCTCCCAGGACCTGAGGGCCTCTGCCAGTGCACACCACTTATCACCTCAAGCCACCACACTTAACACCTAGAGCTAGTGCACCCAGAAGCACGCCGAACACATCACGTACCGGATGAGCAGAGGCACGTAGAAGTAATCAGCTTCACGCGGGTCGATGGTGCGGTGGCGGCTGGCGAGTAGCCGCTCCCAGAACCAGAGGGCTTCGGGGTGGTCGATGTAGGGCGAGTGTTGCATCTGCCATGAGTTGAACTGCGGAGGCAACTCGTACACATACACCCTCAGGGGCTTCCCCGCTGCTGCTGCTCCTGCTGCAGCTTTCACTCCTCCTGCTGCCATTGCTGCTGCTGCCCCTCCTCCGCCTGCTATTGCTGCTGCTGCTCCTCCTTCTGCTACTGCTGCTGTTTGTCCTGCGTCGTTCTGCTGCTGCTGCTGCTGCTGCTGCTCTTGCGCTGGTTGTGGCTGTGGGCTGAGGGAGGCTGCTGGCTGGATCTCTCCGCCTGCTGATGCTGCTGGTGATGCTGTGAACGTGTCACTCTCTGGAATGTCGGCCCAGGGAAAGGGCGACCCGGGGAGCCTCCTGATTGGTGGGCGGGGAAGGTGGAGGATGGGAAAGAGGAGTTGGCGATGGTGAGAAAAGGTTTCCTTTTCGCCTTATTGTGATAAGAGTGAGCAGATGGCAAAAAAAGAGCACACACAAGGTGTACCCCCCCCCCCCCCCACCCACCTCAGACGCAGCTCCTCATTGTAATAGAGCGAGCAGTCGGCAACAAAGAAGCCGGCCTGGCACTGACACACAGACAGTACCGACTAGCACACACGGGCTGCAACTGAAGCAAACTCTTTTTCCATCCCTCTCAACCTTCCCAGACCTCTCACCTCAGACGCAGCTCCTCATTATAGTAGAGCGAGCAGTCGGCACCAAAGAAGCCCGCCTGGCATTGACACACGCCCCCCTCGCAGTCGCCCCGCTGCGAGCAGTCGTTGAGACACGCCACTGAGAAGCTCTCGTCCTCACATGCACTGCCGTCGTGGTACCAAGGACACCTGGTTGCGAAGGGTTGTGGATGGGTGTGGAGGGGTTTAAAGGGGTTCTGAGTGGTTTTAAGGGGTGTGGAGGGTTGTGGAGGAGCGTGGAGATGTGTGGGGCGATGGGGCCCACCCACCCACATGTGTAAGTGAGTTGAGACACGCCACTGAGAAGCTCTCGTCCTCGCACGCACTGCCGTCGTGGTACCAGGGACACCTGGCGGGGTTTGGAGGGGTGTAGAAGACAGACAGGCGAGTGAGTTGAGGCACGCTACCGAGAAGCTCTCGTCCTCACATGCACTGCCGTCGTGGTACCAGGGGCACCTGAGGAAGGGGTGTGGAGGGGTGTTGAAGGGTTTTGAGGGGTGTGGAGGTGTGTGGCCCACATGTGTGAGTGAGTTGAGACACGCCGCTGAGAAGCTCTCATCCTCACATGCACTGCCGTCATGGTACCAAGGGCACCTGGGGAAGGGGTGTGGAGGGGTGCGGAGGAGTGTGGAGGTGTGTGACCCACATGTGCAAGTGAGTTCTTCCAAGCACGCAGTTGAGTAGCTCTCGCCCTCACACGAGCCTGCAAAGTGACCCACCCCATCCCGTCCTCCCCTCTTCCCGCCCCCTCCTCTCTTCCCCCCCTTTCCCCCTCCCTCCTTCGTACCTGCACTCCCAGTAGGTGGCATCGCAGAGCCCACGCCCAAAGCAATAGTTGGGGCAGTTGCTGAGCGGAACAAGCCATGGGAAGGGGTGCGGCGGGAGGGGCGTGGAGGGGAACTCAGCCGGTTGTCTAGGTTGTGCTGGTTGGGAAGAGATTCCCGCATCGCCTTTGTGCAGTTCTTGGAGTTCTTTCTCCATAGTTGAAAGTCAAGCGAAAAGTTGCTCGAGGGCGGCAGTGCCGATCGTGGTTGTCGCCTCACTTGTCGTAGCTGGATTGGGTTGTCCTTCAGCTGTCAGATTTGCTTGCCCTCTGGATCCTCCGGCAATCTTGGTCTTGGAGCGTGTGCCGCTCGCCAGGTCTTGATTCGGCGAATTTCTCGGAAGTGAAGTTGCGAAGAATCCCTGAGTAGCTCTCCATACCATGTTACAATCCCAAGTGGGTGTTAGCAAAGGATCGCTCAGGGTTGATCACGGAGTAGTGTTGCAGCGGAAGTTTGAATCTCAGGTCAGAGTGAATGTAAATGACTGAGTTGATAATAGCATGCATACATCGAGTTTATATAAGAGTACAAGGGAATACGAAAGGACCTAGACTAGCCATGTACTCTAAGGGGTACATTCCCTTATTACAACTGAATTCAGAAACCGTGCGGCGCATGAACCCGTTCGAAACCTGTTCCCGCTCTTTTCACTTCAAATGTTTCTGCCTGCATCGGTCTTGGTCTGACGGTTGCTGCGTCGCTTCGGCTCTTCTGACTCCTCAACTTCGTTCTCGGTAGAGTCGGCTCATGCAGCGTCACTTGGAGTTCATTCTGCAAAACCGCCCAATACAGCACGTGGGATGCGTGGTGCGCAGGGCTTCGGGCGCGCTTCGAGCCGATCGCGACTTCTATTTCGGCGCGTCAGAGACTGCGTACTTGGCGGCAACTCGGGTCGATTCAAGACTATACGAGTGGTTTTCTCGCATTATGCGAACAAGTCGGCTACATGCACGAAGCGGAGCGGGTGGACCGTTTCGTCGGAGGGCTGAAACCGGACATCTCGCACGAGATCATGCTACGCGGGCTCTCGAACTTCAACGAGATTCTCGCGCTCGCCGAGAAAATCAACATTTTGCGCCGTCCGAGACCAGGGTCCTACTACGGACATCGTCCTCGGGGACCGATCAAGCACGCCACCGTACATGCCGTTGCGACGAATGCAGCTGCCGCGCCGTTTAAGGGGCGCTGCTTTGCTTGCAACAGGCCGGGCCATCGCAAGACTGAATGCCCAGAGGAGTTGAGGCGCCGCGGAGCAGAGCAGGGGAGGGAGTCTCCAAGGCGAGGATACGCTTAGAGCCAGTAGGAATCGGGCTAACTACTGACGAGACTGCCTGCTCGCTCAACCCCACCGACCCTCACCGAGTAATAGTACCGATTCATGCTATCGATTGGGTTCGGACGAATAAGGAGGGTACAGCAACGGATTGCCCGGTATTTATCCACAGGAAAATACAGGGAGCAGTGAAGATTTTTATCGACGGAGGAGCAAGTCACAGTTTAGTTAATACCGCAACCACACGCAGATTGCAACTATCACTTAGCCGTTGTTTACCTGAGATAGATGCACGATTAGTTGACGGCACGCCACTGGCCATACGGGAAAGGGTGGAGAGAGTCAAAGTCCGCAGCGGGGGAAATTTTGGATTTACACAGGAAATGCTCGCGACGACACTCGATGGGCACGACATTTTACTAGGACGTGATTGGTTGCGACGGTATAACCCGCGAATTGACTGGACAACGGATAGCTGCACTGTGCGAAGTAGCGGTAACTGGGTTGAGCTACCTCGCTGGCAGTCGCCCGAGTCTTCAACGGCACGTGTCAACGTCGTCACCATGAAACAGGTTGTCGCTGCTGGGGCTGATGTGTACGCAGTAGACATTTCAGTGGTGGAAGGAGCAGAGCAGCCAAGTGGTTTCAAGAAACTGCTGGCAGCTCTACCGCCCAAACTACAGGAACTATTGAAACGATACCCCTGGATTTTTCCCGACGACTTACCGGAAGGACTGCCACCTCAGCGAGCACATGACCACCGAATAGAATTAGAACCGGGGGCACAACCAACTGTACGGCGACAGTTCAGACTGACACAGCCCGAGCTCGACAAACTGAGGAAGCAATTAGATTACTTGTTAGAGAAGAAATTAATCCGACCGAGCTCGTCACCGTTCGCCGCACCGATACTGTTCACGCCAAAAAAAGACGGAGGGTTTCGCATGTGCATCGTGAGAAAACTGAAACGAGAATGAATGAACTATGAATAAAGTGGGTACAAGTACTAACCCTAATTGGGTTGTACCCTGTATGGGATACCCCACTACAGCCTACACAAAAGCATAAGCTATAATGTTCTGACACACCCCCATATGCAAAGTGGGGGAGAACAGGGGGTCACAAGACCAGTCAAGCAAAGCAAAACAAAGCAAAGCTCAGGGTGGATCACAAAGTCACCACACATTCCGAGCACAAGTACAAGGCCAAAGGCAAGTTCACATGCAGGAGTACATATATATATATAAGGCTAGACAAGCAAGAGCAAGTATATATATATGTAACAGTACAAGCAAGGTCAAGAGGTGAGCAAGTGAGGCAAGAAAGGGACAAGACCCAACTGAGTGCAGAAGCGCTGATGATCACAAGGCGAAAGTGCCTTTGTGAAAACATCAGCAGTGTTGGCCTCAGAGGCCACGTACGCAAGCCGCAACCGTCCACGCTGCTGTAGCTCACGAGCAAGAAAGAAGCGGAGAGCAATGTGCTTTGTTCTGTGCTCCAGTCGCTGCTCTCGACACAAGGCCAGCATGGCCTTGTTGTCTACGTACAGCACTTGAGGAGAACGAGGCGGCTCTCCGAGGTCAATCAGCAGGTAGGTGAGCCAGCGAAGCTCCTGTGCAGCCATGGCCCCAGCGTAGATCTCAGCCTCACAACTGGAGCCGAGAACAGAAGACGAGCGAGTAGCCCGCCACGAGACAGAGCCTGAACCAAGGCTGAAGGTGTAACCCTGTGACGACCGCTGCGTAGCCTGGTCGTCAGCCCAAGAAGCGTCTGCGTGCCCAGTAAGGACCACTGGACTGCGCCCTCCAAGCACTAGCCCCATGCCCGACGTACTGCACAAGTAGCGCAACACCCTCTTCGCTGCAGCCATGTGCTCTGGTCGATGTCTCCCAGGAGCAACATAGCGTGTGAGAATGCTAAGAGGGTATGCAAGGTCAGGTCGTGTGCAGGTCATCAGGTACATGAGGCAGCCAACAAGCTCTGGGTACGGGCCACTCGACTCTACGGACTCATCCGGAGGCAGAGCTGAGAGCAAGTGGCGAGTAGGCAGAGGAGTTGCCTGAGGCGAGGAGTACGTGAAGCCGAAGCGCTGAAGGACCTGCTGCACCATGTGTGACTGAGTCAGGGTAATGGTGCAGCGTGCTCTGTCCCGGGTGATCTGCAAGCCAAGGTAGCTGCGCAGTTCACCCAGGTCTGTGCACGTGTGTCTCTTCTGCAGCTCGGAATTCACGTAGGCGAGTCCAGCAGTGTCAGCTGTGGCAAAGACCAAGTCGTCGACGTACACGAGGATGTAGAACAACGGCAGAGAGGTGTCGGTGCGTAGAAACAGCGACGGGTCGGCAGTAGAAGGAGCAAACCCAAGAGCCGCAAGTGTAGTCCTCACTATGTCGTGCCACTCACGTGGCGCCTGGCGGAGACCGTAAACTTGACGCCGGAGGCTCCACTGGGTAGCAGGAGGGAACGACCCAGTGAAGCCAGGTGGGCGGCGCAGCCAGATCTCCTCGTGCAGGCTGCCCTGCAAGAAAGCAGTGCTGAAGTCAAGGGAGTGAAGCTCGTAGTCGTGCTGAGCGGCTATGTGTAGCAGCACCCGAAGAGCGGTCATCTTTGGGGTGGGAGAGGTCTGAAAGTAGTCAGCTCCCTGCCGCTGACTGAAGCCACGAGCCACGTACCGCGCCTTGAAGACAGGTGGAGAACCTGGCGGCCGCTTCACTCCGAAGATCCACATGCCACTGACGATGTTCGCCCCAAGTGGGGGAACAGCGTCAACGTAGGTGCCTGTGGACTTCCAGGAAGCCATCTCTGCGTCCATAGCTGCCAGCCACTGAGAGGAGTAGGGACCCTCTATCGCCTCCGCGTAAGAGCGCGGAGTCGGGATGTCTAGTGCATCCGGGTCTCCCTCAGGGGTAAGCAGTACGGACACGAGATGAGGTGAAGCAGCGGCCAAGCAGTGGAACTCCTCCTGCCTCTCCTTAAGGACGTCCTTGCCAAGGGCACACTCACCCCCGACGGACGGAGGACAGACAAACTCAGACTCAGCAACAAGACTGGCAGCGTAGTCTAGACAACAGCGAGCAACAAAGTCGACGAGCTCAGCAACTAGGGCAGACGCAGCAGTGGACTCAAAGGAAGGGTCAGTGACAACAGTAGCAAGGAGACGCGTGACAGTAGGACTGGCAGCACGAAGACAGTCCGAATCCGGGTCGGCAAGAGCAGGAAGAGAAGACTCAGGAGGAGAAGGCAAAGGGGCACGCAAAGGAGCAGTGGACGGACGCTGAGACATCCGGTGTGTGCTAAGGACAGGAGGAGGACGCTGACGCGAACCGCGACCACTAGTGCGAGCAGCACGGACAGGCGACGCAGGGCGAGACACAGGCTCACGACGCTCAGCAAGACCTCCAGTAGGACCAGTGTAGGGAGACGGAGCAGGCAGTGGGGAGGCCGACTGTAGCTGTAACTGTGACGGGACAGGCTGTGGACACTTTAAGGGAGGAGGAGGACCAGTAGAAGGCGGAAGACCAAGAACCTGCCGAAGGAGCGGAACGAAGTACGGCCGAGGCCGTGCGGCAACTCCAGACACAGCAGGGGTAGCACCAGTACCCCCAGCGACAGCACCAACACCAGCAGCACCTCCAGCTCCAGTACCTCCAGCGGTACCAGTAGCACCCTCAGCAAGACCGCCTCCAGGACCGACACCAGTAGCCTCCGCGCCAGC